TCCTCACGTGTCTCCGGAGTTACTTTCATTACCTTAGAGGTCACATTATTGTGAGTCACTGGACCTTCCACTTGATCCCTGCACAATGTCGATTGTGGTATTTGAGTTACTCGATGTTCTCTTTTGTTTGTGTTCTTGATTTTTTCTGTGTCCAACACACCCAAAACGTTAAGCCTTTAAGGCTCAAACACTGGTCACGTGACATTTATCGTTGGGTGTTGTTACTATTGTAAATTGGGAGAGCGGATAATGTTGCACGGTTTAGCTCCAATAGTTAAATGACTAAAGGGTAAGTATAGGCTATGTGGTTCGTTAATCTACTTATAATGAGGTCGATAGTGGCTTAATCGGAAGGGGGAATAATCTAATTTTAATAAGGGTGACGTTACTCTTAAACGTATTATAATAAAACTTAATAACTTAAAAGTGATCCAAAAGTTGATCACTATCCTAATACTATCAATAAAACAATGATAAACTTCAATCGACCAATATATTTAATTATTTGTCCTAATAATTATCCAATCAATGTCTTTATCGTATGTCGTCCTTCGTAAGGTATTTTACTATATCAATTATTCAATATAAGACTCTTAGTTACTCAGGGAAAGGTCTATTCAGCCTCAATGCTTACTTCCTTTATGTTAATTAAGAGACCCAGTGTATATGCGTATTCGTTAATCAACAAACTTGATGATGAATCGATTATTTATTTAGCGGATTTAAGGAAATTTTAATATTTGGAAAGTGATAGATGTTTAAATGCGAAGTAATAATGATTTATTTAATAAGACTTTTTTATTGATAACAATCGATAACTAATCGAGAATTCTCGTTTGGGAAGGCCAAGATGACCTATATTTATACATTTATTTTTATGAAGACTAATCTCGTTATACTTTATTCCAAAAGTCCTACAATTAATATCATCGCGTATACGTTTTACTATTGAGAACGGGCGGTTTGGTCACCGGGACCAAACAGATCTTCTTTCTGAATCAGCAACTAATAAGAGGCGGTTAGATTTGGCAGGCGGATGTTCTAAAGCTTAGGTCGTCTTTCCTACTACTAAGGGACGAGTCAATTATCACTTCGGGGGGTACAATAATCATGGATTAATCTATGGGCTTCGTGAAGATAACTCTACTATGCCACTTAGTAGAATATCGGAGGTAAGGTAATTAAGGAAAGTATGAGTTAGGTAGTAGGAGTTATTTAATAAAGAACTTAGTTTATTTAGAAGCGAACTTCTGAGTTGTTCAGTCGTTCGTTGTTCTCCTCTATGGGCCAACACAGCCTTTATTTATAATATAAAATTTGTATACAAGTTATGCTATTTACTACAGATCTGTCATTTATCGCAGATATGCCATATATCTTATATACGGTATATTCCATAAATGAGATATATTCCATATATTGCTTAAACGGAATATATGTGATATATGGCAGATATGTATTATATTGCATATATGAAATATATGTGATGTTATGCTTCCGAATTTCATATTTCCTTATTTAGCAAATTTAATATTATATTATTATTATTATTATTATTATTTTATCAGTATTATTATCAGTATTCTTTATTTGAGTAAGATCTGAGTAGGTGTAATTAGATAGGTTTAACCTTCAATAGGAGATTAAAACTTCAACGAGAGTTAAAGCTTCTTAACGGGGTGTATAATCCTCAGACAGGAGTAGAAACCTTCAGTAAAAGATTAAGATACCCAGACTGCTTTAAAATATATAAAGGATAGGTTTCAGTGTGAAATAAGGATAGTTGTTCGAAATATTTATTTTTTGTACTATTTTAGTTTAGAATGCCATTCGTATATTAAAATTTGTTTACTTGAATTAATATAAAGTATAATAAAAGAGAAACCTTTACCTTGTAAATTCAAAAGTCTATTGATAATATAAATTGAAATATAATGCTTGTGTAATAACAACCTCTTGATCACTGATCATGTGATTTATATCATTAACCCAACCTTTCTAAGTAATAATAATAATTCCACACAATTCGTATACTTAGTACCTTTTTTTGTTTATAGTCGAAGCTAAACTGGACTTAACCCTAACAAGCTCTCCCACTGATTGTAACAGCGATTTATGCAATCTACCTGTAATCACATTATGGATCTGTTCTGAGCCTAATTTCCCAGCCTCACACTATCTAAAACGTATATGTTCTATAAGATATTACGTATACATTCCGATTTCCTTAAGCTATCACACAGCTAACAACGTATCTACAGTATTATGATCGACATATTTCTTTTTAGACCACAACATTATATGTTGTAAAGGAGAAATCAACACCTCGGATCCGGCATCACACAAATTCACGAAATTCATGAAATTCGATGAATTTGTGGAATTAGTTCAATGAAATGAAATAACTTAGTCATCAGAATTCGTAGAATAGTTACTATATAATAGATAGTAATAAAGAAGCGTAGTTAGTGGATAGAGTTAATAATAGTAATAATTAGAACTTTTTGTATTCTTCGAATTAAATCATGTATTAAAGAAAAGTATATATAGGCTGAATAATCGCCCTCAATAAAAACCAACTCTTGGAGTTCGAAAAAGTAAAACCTTATAAGTCTTGAATAGTCTTGAAAAGAAGTGTTTGTTTATCCCTAAATACGTTTCCCTTTGAATTGACATAAATCGTTTTGTTTGAATCGTTAGTCTTTCTATCTTGTCCCCGTGATATTTTCTCGTTAAATCCAGTTTCCAGTTATTATCGCATATTTTTTATAGTACCTTAAATTGATAAACAATTGATCAATATCGTAATTGTTAAATCGACCTACCAATAATTTGAACCCTCGTGATACCCAAATCGTGACCAAATCGTGACCAAACCGTGACTTCCGATAAACATGACCAAGACAATCCATAGACCCAACTTCTATAACAAAAATACCTACCCAAGTAACCCTAAACTCGGACCAAGTTAATCCTCGCCTCTTTCAAGCCTTATCCAAGCTAGGGTTACCTCTTAGTTGGATTTTCGGCTTATTTGTGTAGATTAGCTAAACCCGAACCCTTGTGTAACCAAACCTCCGGACGAGTTCCTCACTTTTTCAACGTACCAATTTCTAAGCCTATTTCCTAATCCAACAAGCCACATCCTACAATACTTACTAAACTAAAACGGAAATTTTAATATAGTGTTAGAGGTAAACCGGGTTGGAAACGTTGCGCAATGATCTCCGAAAACGTGACCTAAAACGTGACCGGGATCTTACTTAGAATCGTGACCCAAACCGCCGATCGTGTAACCCGATTTTTCCCCATTGTATGCAAGAGAAGCCTCAGAAATCAGCTCATGACGCTAAGCCTGGTCCCCACGAAAGAAGTATTAACTCACCTTCACAAGCTCACGGCTGAGCCTTGGTACCCCGAGGATGTTTTTTGGGTTATACTATGGACGGGACCTACAAAAAAAGAAGTTAATGAAAAGAAGGAAACACGAGTCAAAGGATGTTGGAAAGAAACTGTGAAAATAGAAGAAAAAGGGAATGGGTCCGTAGTGTACTTCCCTTAAAATTCGTTATAAAAAGTCCTCCTTTTTTGCCTTAAGTTAGAGAATTACACCCCCTTCGCCTCCTTTGCTCTTGTATTAAATAAATAAAAATTTAAAAAAATATATAATCGTCATTATATAAAATTTCATTATTGCCGTACCTGTTTCCCCGTGTAACGTGTTCGTTGCCAAATTGTTCTCGCCTCGCTGCTTTATCGAATAACGTTACGCGAAGACCCGAAAGAACGAGCGACTAACTCGCCGTCTTTCCCTCCTACAATAGAAAATTAGAAAATGAATCGTGGTTTTGGTCCGGGAACCTGTTCAGATCCCGACAGTGTACTAATTAAATCAAACTATATGCAGTATCATATAAAAAACTATTATTAAAGATTTTTTAATTTTACATATGTACTATAATAATTCTTTGAGAATTTTTAAATAGATGCACAACCCTAAGGGCTCGATAGTTTAAGATAAAATTTTGTATCGACCAAGATTATGCCTCTACAAACAAAGCTATAGAGAATTTTCTTTTATTTAACTATGAAAAAATTTCAAGACACCATTTTTTTTTTTTAAAAAAAAAAAAAGACTTCTTTTTTAATTAAAATTTTTTCATAGTTAAATAAAAGAAATGGTTCTATAGTTTTGTTTGTGAAGACATAATCTTGGTCGATACAAAATTTTATCTTAAACAATCGAGCCATTAGGGTTGTACATCTATTTAAGATGCAAAATCAAAAAATCTTTAATAGTTTTTTTATATGATATCATATATAGTTTTGGTTTAATTAGTACACAATACACCCCATGGATGTTGTTTCTTCTGTAAGAAAGGACAGGTTCCATGATAAACAATAATAGTTAGTCAAGTAATTCAAATTTTTGAAAATAAAAATAAACTTTATAATTGCATTTACCGGTAATTGTCAATTAAACTTTTAAGAATAATTTAAACTTTTGTATTTTTAATACCATACTTTTGTAATATACCATCTCACTTGTAATAAATATTGTCAATGGTCAAAAATAAATATAATCTTAATAAATTTAAATCTTTATTTACGCAAAATGCAAATTATTAAGAAACGATATTAAAGAAAATTCTTATTAAATATAAATTATTACATATATTGAAAGTTTATTTTGCAGAATGCTGTGAATGAATTAAAAAGGAATGTTTGCTATTGTTATGTTTGTAAAATAATAAAGATTAAATTATTAATAACGAGAATGCTTATTATCTTGACATCTAAAAATTATTTGAAAAGTGATGCATGATTTGATTTGATTTTGTTTTTTTTTAATCTTCTAATTTTAAATATTAAAAGAAATTTAGAGACTTAAATTTAAAAAAAAAAAATTATAGCTAATATAGTATATTAAAAAGGTGAGAAAGAAAAAAGTTAGCATAAAGAATTCAAGTCTAAATCTTCAATAATTCAGATAATTGAATTTAAAAATTTCTTATAACTGTTCCAAAAATTAGTGTTCTCCCATTAATACTCATCAAAAATGGTATAAATGAAACTACAATTACAGACGCTCCAACTACCATGAATCCCATTCGAATGTCATCAGAATAAGCTTTGAAAACTGCTGCAAATATTAAACTTCCTATATTGCCTCCTGCTGCTACTAATCCTGTAACTATTCCCGCGGCTGCCGGATCAATATATGGAACAATACTAAATGAAGTTCCGCAGCAGCCCTACAATGTGTTATAAAAAATTTATTAGTACTCAATAAAAAAGATTTTGAAATTTTATTATTCACACATAAGTATATTTTCATATTTACCTGAGTAAATAAAGAAAAACATCCCATTAATATAATGGCCATTATCAAACTGTCACTCATAAACCAGAAAAGAAATAAAAATATTCCTTGAAAGAAAAAGAACGCGAATTGAGTCAGAAATCGACCACGAACTCCCATTTTTCTATTTACAAGATCGGAAATTAAACCTCCACTAGCACGAGAAAAAAAATTCAACAATCCAAACAATGAACCAATTAAACCTGCTTGAGTTTGATTGAGTCCAAATTCTGTACTGAAAAAAATTGCAATAACATTATTGACAGCTGCTTCTACTCCAAAGCAACATGCGTACATAATCATCATTAGAATGACATTAGGATTGATAAAAACAAGAAGGTATTGAATTACTAGTGGTATTCTATAACTATCCTCATCTATTTTTGTATCTGAATATTTTAATTCTGAATTTGAATTAATAGAACCATCATCAAGTTTGTTAAGACCACGACGATACCAATCTCCATCCGGGCAATCATCACTAAACAAATAACAACACGTGCCAACTATTATACAAAGAAATGCTGGAACGAGCATAGAAACGCGCCAAGAAATATCATCTGATAAAAATTTGTTGAATAAATTAAATACTAATGGCATAAGAATATAAGTAATTCCACCACCCATATCACCCCATCCAGCTGCAAGGGCGTTAGCCCCACCGACTGTATTAGAGTTAAACATTTGTGTAGTTACGAATTGACAAGGTACAAATGACGCGCCGAGAATACCAATAAAGAATCTTAAAGCTATAAGTGAATTAGGACCTTGTGCCAAACCTACAAGAGCGGTCGGTATAGCACCAATAATAAGTATACCTGCCATGACACGTCTTGAACCAAATTTTTCACATAATGGTCCGGACAATATACGAAATAATATCGTTGAGGATACTGAGGCAATATTACAATCTCCTATTTCTGAATTTGTTAAATTTAAACTTTTACTAATAGAAGGAAGTAATGGAGCAACAGCAAACCAGCATGTAAAAGCAGTAAGAAAAGTAAACCATGAGAAATGAAAAGCTCGCATATAGGGTCGTGAATTATTAAATAAATTAATATCTGTAGCCTTCCTTGTTGTAAGGTCAACAGGAGGCCGTTTTTTTGTAAAATTAATCATGATTATTGATTTAGGAAAAGACTGACAATAGGTGGTTCGGTAAAAAGATTATTTGATCGCTTAAAAGTTTTTTTTTCATTCAAGGCCCTATATTTTAACATTTTTGAAGTGTGACAACATTTCATATAGGTAATTTGTATGTTGTACTGTATATATGTATTCTTAAAAAAAAAAAAAAAAAAAATTCTTTTTAAAGGTATTCCAATAGAATAATTTATAATATAACGTTATAAAGTGACTTTCGAATAATTCAAACTCTACCAAGAAATTTATTCATTAATTAAGAACCATTTTGGCCTCTTTTTAATATTACGTGTAACAAATTATAATATCTGATATGCATATATATGTATGTACGTACGTCGTAATGTACCATTACCAAGATATGATAACGATAATATAACGATAATAAAAGTTTAATATAATGATAACTAATGATAATACAGTTAATATTAATGATAAGATAACGATAATTAAAACTGTTACAAGATAACAATTTATGCATAGATATGCAAAGATATGTAAAGATATGTTAAATATAATAATGATGTGCATTTTTCGATTATCATTATCCAATTGCCGTTTACGTATGTATAAACAATAATAAAAATCCGAAATTTACGATTTAGAATTAGGTCCTTCTTGATAAATAATCTGCTTAAAGTTTTTTTGCATATACATGTCTCACAAAAATTAGGTTGTACATAATTGCTGATAACGAAGTATGGCTCGGCCTTTTTAAAGCCTTAGGTGTTCAAAATAGTTTAACTTATCACCTCTCATGATTCATTCATTTTTTACCTTCATTAATTATCGATTCGCTTCCTTTTATTATTACCATAAAAAGTATAAGTTTCTTTTACAATAAATTTTCTAAGACCGACTCGTGCAGATGATTGATATATTAAGTTTACTCCTCTCGGGCCTGAGTGTACTCGTAAACTTTATATGCATCCTAATTCTTTCATACCATTGCATCACAAAGTTTACTTTCTTGCGACTCTCATGGTAAATTAATAATTTTAAATTTTGCGAATTTTTTTTCTCTTTTTTGAACTCATCTTTCTTTAATGTAATTAGCTTTGCATCAAATTTAGCCAATCTCATAATATGTGGAGCAAATCTTGGTCGTGTTATATTGCCTGAATCTACATTTCTAATTATGTATTATTGGATTGGTTTCGAAATAATTTCTTCCATCTATTCTACTATAGTATGGACTTGTCTTTTGATAACTGGATCAAGATTTTATCGAGAGATGAGTTGGAAAGATCCTTTGTGTATTTTTAGTATTTTATCATTAATAGCATTAAACGCTATATACTGGGTAGGTGTCATTATTGATTGGACGCAAATGAAAGCTCAACCGGATTTGGTCATCTTAATATTTCAAGCTATCTTTTGGATGTTGTGTGGAATATGTTCCTTCATTTATACTTTTACTCCAATTTTAACAATTCATTTTAATCATGTCGGTTTAAAAGTAAGATTTGATTCTGAAATTCCTGATGATATAAACTGTCAAAAAGAACAAAATGTTATTCCTTTTGTTCAACAATCAAATGAAAACTCTAAAGAAAATTATTCTATTAATTCTCGAAATGCTACTGTGGGTTCTTGGTACATGATTACTGTAGGGTTCTTAACTTTAGGTTACGGCATATTTTATGTTATCATCTTTATTACTCCTTCATTTGTACCTTATCATCCTATTACTAATTCTGTGGACTTTTTATTAAGAGCTATTTATTTGGTAATTTATGGAATACCTCCAACTAAAATCGTTTTAAAATGGGTGACTAGAAATGTATTAGGAATTAAAGATTTAGGTTCAATTAAAATGACTGAAATGCATTCTAGTGATAATGTTGCTTAACTTCAATTCATTTTTAAAGATTTATTTTACGTTGAACATGAGATTTTTTTTTTAATATAGTAATATACTTTTTTTCATTCTTGCATAAAAGTTTGCTTTTATTTTATTGCATAGTTTTAATGTATTTAGCACGTTCATTTTGCATACATGCATTTTTTTTAAAAAAAATATTTAACATAGCATTTCAAATAAATAAACATATCAAAGTAAGCTTACTTTAATAAGATCTAAAGATATAAAGATATTAATTTTTCGCATATTAAGGATTTAAGGAAATTTAATGCATCAATATTTCGCATTTTAAGATTAAAGAAAAATTAATGCATCTATTGTATAACGATAACTAATTATATAAACATTTGAATTTCTTATAATATAACACAAATAAATCGGTGCAACTCATAATAGCATTATCTTTATTTAACAAGGATACTTGGCATGAAGTAGTAAATTACTCTGAATTAAGATTTTATTAAATAATATTATAAATTTTGATTCTGATATATAGGTATTTTTTCGAAGTTAATGGTTTTTATAGATTAGAAACATAATTAAAGTTTCTTATAATAATTAATTTTTTATAATTATTTTCTTAACAGAGTTTATAATTTTATTTCTTAGTTTTTTTCTTTTTTTTTTTAGTAGTATAATAAATTTGGATTATTCAAAGTTGTTGCAATAAAAATGTAGCTCAATACAGAGTATGTAACCTTACATGCTTAAATGAAAACTGCAAATATTTAAAGAAAACCTCAACTCAAAAAACCTAATACTGACAACAAAGAAAAAGAAGGAAAAGAACAAACTAACAAATATCATAATTTAGACTAATTATATAAAGTAGTCATGAAATACTTAAATGCGTTTATCTTCCAAGAGAAAATGAAAAATAGAAGTCTCTTCTAATAGATTTTTCTATTTTCTATATTGATAGAGAGCATGAAGCTACTCTCAAAACAAAAATCTCTACTCAAACAATTGATAAACTAGCAGATCTTGCTAAGGAATATGTTTGCAAAACAAATAATATTAAAACAAACATTAAATATCATAACTATTATTTCTACTAATATTTAATACTTTACTACAACTAGGCTACACAAAATTATAAAACAATCTTCTTAACAAAGAAAAAGCTATCAAATCTCTAATAGAACAACTTACTAATATACATTTCTTAGTATATATAATTATATTTTATAATATTATCTTCAATAATATACTAATATATAAAACAATTATAAAATTTTATAAAACAATAGCTATGCTAAAGGTTAAAAAAATTCTAAAGAAAAATTTAATATTAATTTCAAACTAGTTGAAATAGTAGATTTACTATTTCTTGAAACAAGTTAAACTTTTTTTCAGTAAGCTTGTCTTCTACATATCTACTAATACTATTTAACTATATAAAAGATAATTATATAGAAATCTAATTATTAATATATCTAGAAATATAAGGAATTTTATATATTACAACAAATTTCTCTAATATTATAATTTCTCTTTCTTGAATTAAAACCAAACAATCAAATCTTTTTTTATATACCTAAAATCCTTCAAGTTTTCTTATAAATCAGTATTTTCATTTAACTCTAAACTAAATAAAAAATATATATATACTCTAGACAATTTACACTTTCTCAAAAACTACTTCTTCTTAGATATATACTAACTTTTATTATATTTGAATTTATTATTTTTTTTTGTTTTTTTTTTTACTTTATACAAATGCTATTAGCTGAAACTTTATTAGTATTAATAGTAAGTAAATAATATATATTATAAAAGTATAACTAGCCATATATACAACTTTAGATTGTTTAATTTTAGTAGTCTACCTAAAGATTCTATACTAGCTACTATACCTGAAATCTATTTAAAGATTACCTATTTAAACCTTCTGGCTCTATGATACTTACTCATATTCTATTCTTATTTTACTAAAGTTTGTCTAACTCTATGCTACTTCTCTTTTTGGAAGATACCTAAGCTAATATTAGTTTACAAATTTATAATTCAGAGTCTAAGCTCTATTACAAGATGCTTCTTCACTAACTCCCTAATTAATAGAGTACTATAATACCTAACTATACTATACTATATTTTAATTTAGCTTGTATATACCCTTATTCAATATTCATACAAACCTAGTTCCTACTGTAGATTTTTACTAGATTAGTTATCTGTACCTCCAGATATTATACAAGACAGATCTTCTCAAATCTAAAGGTTAGTATTGCCTGTGCCTTCAGATATAACATAAAACAGATTCTTCTAAATCTGAAAGTTGGTATTGCCTGTATCTTCAGATATTATATGAGACAGATCCTCTCAAATCTAGTTAGCTACTAAGCTAAGTTGGTGTTGTTATATGACCTTGTATAATAAATTTACTCATACTCACTCATTGATCTTTTAGTATACAGAACTTACTCATATTTGTTTACTAGTCTTTTCGTATATAGGACTTACTTGCATCTATTTTATTAATCTTTTATATGCAGATTTTTTTTTCTGAATTAAATATTAACTAGTATAACTATTGAAATCCATACTACATCACTTAACTTAGAATTTGTGCTATACAGGTTCTCTGTTCATAGATTCTATTAAGGGTAGAAGGTACAATTTATAAATTATATATAAAACTTATGGTAAAATTTTTTTTAATTAAAAATAAAAAAATATTTTATTAAGTAAACAGCTTTTAAAAATTAATTAAAAATTGTAGAATAGGTTTTTCTAATTCTAATAGTAATAAATTTATTAAATTTAAATAGATATTTATCAAGATATATAATTTTAAAAATTAGATATCATAAATTGTTTATATAAATTATATGAAGATCATATAATTTGAACTAATCAAAATCAATTATTTTATGTAACTATGGAGAATTTTTAGACACTACAGAGAATTTTGCAATATATACAAGTATATTTTCTTAAAATATTTTATCTATTAAAAATTTCACTATCATAAAGAATATAACTTATTCTATATTATATAAAAATTTCATAAAAATTAATTGCAACAGTTAAAAGTTTTATTAGTAGTATAGGCTAATTTTTTATCAAAATCATATTGTATTACAAAGATCATATGAAAAATGATCTATGTATCCTCTACCCTTAAAATTTATTTATATAATATTATATTCTTCAGACATTCTGTCATACTTCTAATATTTGAATGATATTAGTGCAATATGATTTACAGAGTTACAACTTTTAGAAATGAACAGAGTTTATCATAAGTTGAATACAAAGGTCTAAGTAATTATTCAATTCTGTTGACAGTAGAATTTAAACCCTAGACCTCTTGCATAGCAGTCTAACAACCTAACTACTATACTAAGATTGTTGGACCTTTAAATTTATTATTAAAATCATAATCTTATATAATACTATATATTAACTTTACTAATAATTTCACATCTATTTTATTTTCAACTAATAGTATTCTTAATCTCTCTTAGCATAAGAACTTTCTATTTACTTCTTCTTCAAATATACTATACAACTCTGCATTACTTATAATCTGCTTTTTAAATACAAATGAATATATCTTATACTTAAAACAAATATTTATCTATAACTTTATTACTAAATCTAATACTAAAATATTTGAACTTTTAGAAATATATCACAAAATTAAAAATACTAAGTTCTTAGAATTTTTTAAAAACTTAACAAACTATATTAATTACTAGAATGAATCATTCAACTTTAGACAAGAAGATATAGGAATCTATTTATATAATAATATTTTCAAATTTGTTAGCAAAGTATAAATTTACTTTCCTATTCAAAAAAAATACAAACTTAGAAAAAAAATTTATAACTAACTAATCTCTTAAATTCAAAATACTACTAAAAAAATAATTTTAATAAGTAATCTTAACTCAATTTAAATTCTAACTAATCAAATTTCTTAAATCAAATTTTTATGATACTTATAGGCTATTTTATCCTAATACAAATAAATATAGTTGTTTCTATAAAAACTATTATAGCAGAATAAATTGAATATTAACAAATTTATATATTACTCTATTAGACTATACAAATATTCTTAAAATTATTTTTATTGATTCTAACTATAATATTGCCTTTCTAAAAATCTTTTTTCTCTATTCTTAACTCCTAATTACAAACAACTAACTTAAACTAAATTTTTATAAAAAAATAGCACTAATTAACAAATATTATAATACCAAAACTATACAAATAAAAATTTCAAAAAAATTAAACAACTTATTTCAAATATTTAAAATGAAAATATCTAAATATAACTTAGAATATTATAAAAAAGTTATTTCTTAAAGCATCTAAAAAATATATTCTATACAAAAAAATCAAATACTCTATTATCAAAACAAAACTAAAATCTAAATCTATTTTTTTTTTAACTTCAATACTAAGCTTTAATCAAAATCAAAAAATCTTTTAACTCTTCTAATTTACTAACTTTGCCTTCAAAATACTATAACAATTTTTTATACAATACAGATATTCTACTTAAATTTTTTACAAATAACAATACTACAAAATTTATACTTATACAAACTATAAAAAAAGAAATTTAAAACCTTAAATACAAAATTAAACAAGGAAATAAAACCAAAATCCAAATAAAATCTAACAAAAATTACTTAAAAGGAACCAAAACTTTTCTAAAAATCTTAAACTATTCTTCAAAAAAGTACTTGAGTAATTTAATAATAATGCTAATATTAATAGATTACTTTAAAATAATATATTACTTACAAATTCTGATAATATCAAAGTATCAATTCAACAATACTTCTAAAGCTATTTTTCAGAATAACTATTTTACCTAATTCTGAATTTTATATACTCTACTAATATAATTTCTTCTTAGAATCTTACTACTAAGACTTATTAACAGAAATTTTCTAAGATAAATAGCTTACTATTATAAACTAACTGTCTAATCAAAAAGCTACAAGATTTTCTAGTATTAATTATAAATA